CCAACATCACTGAAATCTGCGACAACCGATAATTGATTAATGTTATCAAATCACCCCACAGATGCTTAAAAATGTCCGAGAGCATTTTCAACAAATCCTCTATTACTGCATGGGTCAGCATTTCTAGCATTTATTCGGGTAACTGGTAAGCTTTTACAGAAAATAAAAATCGTTAACTCAGTGGTTATAATCTATGTAAAAATTCCTTCAAAATACCAGTGGTGGCTGCACCGACCATATAGGGTTGCCAGATATCCCGTTTTAGGTGGGAGCCTCCAGCCTATCCAGCAATTGGATAGTTGACAATACCTTTTTTTTTTCAGGAAAATTTTCATGAAATCAACTTTAAAATAGCTTTTTAAAAAACCGGTGACGCCTTGAAGTGAGGTGGGGAGGGGGGTAGCCCCTATTTTCCGCATAGAAGCCGGGCACCCAAAGCAATTTTTAAATTCCGGCGCCTATGCAAGCGTGTGTCAAAGTTACTTTGGCGCACGTTCGCGGCAATAATGTCAAATTATGACAATTCGCGAAAAACGTCTACTTTCTAATTAGATTTAAATGTACAAAAGCCTACTTTTAATACTGCCGTGCTAAGCACAAAGGTGGTAACTGACTTTTTTAAGAAAAATTAATTTTTGATTATAATACATTAAATTATCAATTTTTTAACATTATTATTAACTTATTAAGTATAAAAAGTCAATATTTTATTTAAAATAGATCTATAAAAATAGTCGTAACTTTATTTTCTACCTCAAATACTACGTTAAAGTGCCGTATCTGCAAAAAACTAAGCTTTTTTATTGTTTTTAAAAACAAATACGTCCATAACCCTTAGTATTTTTCAGATACGTCAAAAATGCTTTAGTAAATTTGTTAAAAATTTCAGTAAAGTTAAAGTAGAAAAGAGAAGATTGACGTTATTTTATAAAAATTCATTTAAGAACCCTAATTACAAAATAGTTAATTTTCTTAAGGACGGGGTATCCCTGTGTATTAAAAGTGTATGTGTAGACCAAAAGTTAAATCGACAGTTTTCCGAATATGTAGTGTTTAAAAATCTAATTTTTGGCCAAATTAAAAATAAAGGTCTAACTTAGGTCACCTTACTATTGAAAATTAATAAATTTATTATTTTCAATAAAAACCAATCGTGTAAAATAACCCCCTTTTATTTCATCTCAAAGGTGCCGTGTAGATTTATTTTAACCTCGATGTCAAACAAATAATAAAAAAAAATGTAATACGACCTAAGTTCAACCTTTACTTGGAATTTGGTACACTCAGAATATTTAAATATTGTATATTTTTCAAAACGTGTAGATTTGAAATTTATAAGTCACTTTCTTTGAAGAAACATGTCAAAACGAATTTGGACCAAAAATGGCGTCTAATTTAACTCTAAATAAACCCCGAAAAATCAATAATTACTTCATGTAATGTAATAAAGATGGTGCTCCGATCGATAATATTTTGACTAGTATTTGATTATTTCCGTTTATATTATGTGTGTTTACGGGGGATAAACGAGATGATAATACTGCCTCTGATACTGTTTATATGATACAATTGGAAACGACCTTTTTTCATCGGCACTCTTTTTCGCCGGTGACCTTTTGACACGCGCCTATTTGTTATGTTATGATTATCGGTTATTTATCAACTAAAAGTATAGGAAATTAGTACATTGTGAATGATATCATTTTAATGCTATTTTTGAAACTAGTTCAAAAGTTGCATTTAACGATACTCAATGTTTCATTTTACCGTCAGTTTTAGTTTGACATATCCGTCATTTTAAGTTTACAAAGCTCAGTTTCTATTCGAAAGTAAGAGAAACAGTCAAAATAAAATGCGAAAAACACTTTTTATCAATTTCGTTTATGTCAACTGAAAGCGACAATTGCTGAAGACGTAACAAATAAATTAGGTCAAGAAATAAAAAAATCTATACTATAAGTAACATACCATATATTATACCTGTTAAAATAAATCAAAAATAAAAGAACGTATCGTTGACGTATATACTTTTCCATCTGTGATTAGTGATTACCAATTGCAAATTACGTATGAACATGCTTATGCGCAAAAAACCATTATTTCAAGTACTTGTATGATTAAAGTCCATTAAATTATTATTTTTATAAATTTGCTAATCTTTGCACTTTAATTTTCATTATATGGGGTATCCAGACATTTTAATCCTCGTCCTCTTCTATTTAAAATTATCTCAGGTGCCATATATTCCGAGTAAAATTTTTCTAATTTTTCAACCATATTTAAAAAAAAAAAAAAAATGGGTTGAAAATTAATTTTTTCAACAAATAGTGGATTTTCATCTCCAGTATATACTACAAAGTAGCACAATTTTCTTGGAGCTATACCTAGCTGTCCTTGAATCTAAAAGTATATAAAATCATTATTAGAAAATCAAACATAAAAAGAATATTAATATTGTAGTATCATTTCTAGCACATTTCTTAAAAATCATGAATTATTTTAACATATTGAAATTTTTCACCTGGTAAAAGTAGTTATGGTTTTCTTTTAAATGAATGTCACCATCTTCTATTTTTAAGCATGGAAATGGGTTTGAATATTAGGTAATGTGCGCCAATAATGTCAAATTATGACAATTCGCAGAAAACGTCAACTTTTTATTTAGATTTTAATGTGCAAAAGCCTACCTACTTTGGATATTAATCGTAGAACAAATATATTCAGAATAATGAAACATTATTATTAAATAACAAGTTTTTTTATTGTCAATTTAATACGTAATATTATTTTTTAATTGCAAATGTTTGAATGTTAAAATTATAGCGTTTAATTTTTTTATTCAATGACGAACTCGAGAGTGATAGAAAAAAAATACTACCTACCTTTAATGCAGGAAGTCGATGTCAATTTATCCAAAAATAAAACTGATTAAAATGTACACTAGGACACTTGGCACAAATAAATAAATTTTCTATTAAAGAAAATAACACTTATTAAAAACAAACAGCACAATAAAACACTTCAGAAACGTGTAATGTAATTTTGAAAACTAAATACCCGTAAGCTTGTTTGTAAATTTATAGACTCTTAACTCCTTCCCCCAGCCTTCATTAAGTATATTAAAAGTCGTGACGTCATATTGGCACAGATATACGGTAATGTGTTATTGACAATCAGGGAAATAACTACCTAAGATAAGATAAGATATATGAATGTTAAATACCTACTCATAATATCTATTGTAGGGTTTTTGTACTTTAATAGGATAAATATTTATGCGGGTCTGGAAATTCCAGGAAATGACAGTCAAAATTACCCAAAAACATTAGGTTAGTACCAACATCAGATAACAGATAACTTCGGTGTTTAACCAATTAATCACAATTAATATTCTTGAACATTCAAATGACAAAAACTTCCATCTTTAACCAATGAGAATATAGTTTTCATTCGATACTTCAAAATCACAATTTATTAATTAGGTAGAATAGTTTTAAAATATATTGCGAATTGCAACACGTCAATAAGCGTCCCACTCCGACTCAATGTGACGCAATTATTGTCGCAATATATTTTGAAACGACTCTATATTCGTGACTTGAAATTATAAACATCCCTCGTATTACTACCCGTATATAAACCAAATTATTTATTTTAGGAAATATTTATATTTAATGTAAGGCAAGATATCGTTTTGGTTGTTACCATCTACATTCTTTACTTTGATCCAGGAAACAAAGTCAATTTTCGATAAAAATAAAATGTAATAAGTAGGTAATATTTTATGAAACAGTACAATAAAAGTATTGAAATAAAGTATGCTCATACTCCAAAATGAGTCCTAGAGTTAACATTTTTATAATATTATAAATGGCATATAAAACGATTGGACCGTTTTCACAATCGCGAAATAATTTTTTTTATTTGGTGAAATCCCGGCAATTATTGAAAAATAGATTTTATGTTCAGGACTATTATTATGATTCTTCGAACTCAGTCTACTAAAAACCGGTTTATAATACAATATCCCCTAATAGCTAGTCGGTCGATATTTATAGTTACTTAAAGATTTCTGTAATAATTTGCACTAATTCAATCTCTAGTCGGTAGGTAACAGCACCTCCTTGATTGAATCTAAAGTGACATAATTTTGTTCAGAAATTCCTAGGAGACGCTGTCCTTAAGGTGAAATTAATCATAGACAGTATTTTAGAACCAAATAAGAAAAAGACTGCTAACGGAATTTCCAAATATAAAAAGAAGCCTTCAAATGGTATCATACCAAAAACTAGGTTAAAATTTTGGGAAGATTTAGCGAAAAATGATTGTGCAGATGATAACGATGAAGTATATAGAAAATTAAAGTACTGAGAACTGATATTACTAACAGATTTAATGTTATTCAATTCAATTATTATCTGTAGCTTTTATGTTTTTCCTTCCTATTAAAATTGGTTAATAAATTAATTATTATAACTAGTACCTCGTTAATAAAGATTTCAATTTAAGTATAAAACAAAAATAAAATAAATGTGAATAATCATTAATTACATACGGCAATATGCTGTAGTAATAAACAATTGAAAAAATAGATTAATAAGTGGTAAGTTGAAAAGATTATGATTTTTATATCAAATCTTTAATTATCTTGAATAAAAATTCAAAATATCACAAAATTAAAGTATTATCTTTCAAAATGACTATAAACAGTCACACCTGGAACTTCATGTCGATTTTCAGAGCCACAAAGTTGCAATATCGAAATATCTAAATTTCTCGAATTCAAGTTTATTGCAGTTACCACCTTTGTGTTTAGCACAGCCGCATAGTGATTGTAGAAAAATATCTTTACCTTATAGGTATTGTGTTTTGCCTACTTAAACAGCGCGGGAAAATTAATTTGGACTGCGAATGTCATGTCGTTTGCAAATCTCACGCGCTTATGTGTAAAAAATGCGATGATGCTCTTTTCCACAACAAAATATATTTTTCAAACTTACCAATGACATGTCACAAATGACAATAAGCCCATCTGGTGGATTTTTCTTATCCAGGGAAATATCAATGAGCATTAAAGTTGCTTTTAACATGGCAGCGGTATCAAATTTCTTATAATCTTCGTCTTCTAGTCTAAAGTAGTGTATTACGAAATTTTCCTTTGTCCTTTTTGGAAAGTTAGCTATAGTCCTACAAAAAATAAAACTGTTTTACCTATCCAATCTTCCTAACCTAAAAAAATCCATCTCTTTAAATGAAAAACGGTAAAACAAATGTTTGTTTATGATTACGGACCTGTACGTTTTATTTCACAGTCGATACCATTGATATGGCAACCAAGTGATACGATGTGTAAGCGCCATGGAGGTAGTAGGGAGACGAGTCGTATATTGCAATAACTCTCTAATTTCTATAACGTGAGCCACTAATAGTGACAACGTATTTAGAGGCAAATAAATTCCATGCTAAAATAAGACTTATTGCAAACCTGAAATTTTGTCATTAGAGTCCTAGTCCTTATACATATTTCTAACCTCATTTTAAAAATTTTAAATTACAGTTCCTTTTTTTGTTGTTGTTTATAATAGTACATAATATTGAAGAGGCATTAGAAATTACTATTTTAGAAGGTTTAGATGACGATGATATTAAATATTTAATATTAAAAAACTTCCAACTGATACGAATTTTGGCGAGCGCACCCGAAAACTATAAACTGCTGTCCTTAAACATCCACAATTAAGGACAGACACAATCTTTATTAAAGTTAGTTCTAGAATGTAAGTGATCTGCGCATGCTCAGATATCAAAATAAGAGCAGCACTAATAGTGACTGACCTTAAGTAAACTTGCAATAACTCTCTATAGACCTTTTCATCATAATTTTTTTTTGTGCTCATTCGACAGTATCAGCCATCTTTTTCGTACTGTTTTTGTAAAGAAACTTGTTAAAATGCCCACGTGAAAAAAATTATAATCGATAAATATTAATTTAAGTATATTCATTTACAAAAAAGGAAGAAAAAGCAAAGTAATAAAAAATATATTTTTGCAATCAATTATAATTATGTTATCTGAACGGAAAGGAACAACGAAACGGTGTTGTTATGGATGGGGTATGTAAAATTGACATACGGTATAAATCATTCAAAGGCAATACATACAATATATATATATATATATATATATATATATATATATATATATATATATATATATATATATATATATATATATATATATATATATATATATATATATATATATATATATATATATATTATTTTATAAATATTCCAAAGCATTGGCTGTAGTATCTTAAAAAATTATCAATTTATCAAGCAAATGTGCATTAGGTGCGAAAAAATGTGGTCGAAGACCGAAGTGGCAACGGTTTTCGATGGATTGATGATGTTACTGAATATACTTATATTTGGTAATTACATTTTCATGGAGAAAGTGGTCCAACAGAAGAAAATTATTATCTGGTATTAAACAATATTTTTTTAATATTAAATTCTACTTCGGTATACACAGTAATATGATTAAAAATGTCATGTTGATCCTCAAAATATTAAATAATATACAGGGTGTCCCAAAATTCCGTGTACATAGATCTACTTTATGTTGGTGAGATCAAAATAAGTCGATTGAGCCAAAATTATCTATATCACAAAGTCCATCGTTTGCCTGTGAGGAAGCTTCAAAGTTGGAAGAAAATTTTAAATTTTTTTAATAACACAAAAACGCTTCTTTCGATTTTTATAAAATTTTGTGTGTAGCTATTTTAATTGAAGAGCCATTTTTCAAAGAAAAAATTACCCCAACTGGAATTATGTAAGGGTAAAAACAACCCTAATCCTACCATAAATGACATCGTATTTTTTTTGCAGGGCCGCCCCTGTTCCCTAAATTTTTTTGTGGAGAGCTGTTTTCATTTGTAGCATTTTTTCTTTCTTGCAAAAAACATGTATCTCTCATGGTATTTGAGTTAAAAAAATTTATGGACTGATGGTTAGTCACTTAAAATTTTCAAGAAAACTAAGTTGGCGGTTACTACTGCAACCCGAACACGATTTTAACGTTATTACAATAAAACAATAATTAATAGGCATAGGTATCTATTGAAAAATAACAATTCGAAAAGAAGGATACATTTTTTTACAATAAATGTTCAATATGGCCACCTCCTTCGTTCATGTAGATTTCAATTCGGCGCAAGAAATTGAAGTGTACCCTTCTCAAAATGCCTAGATCATTTCGCATAGAGTTCACAGCAGTTTGAATCCTACCCCATAATTGTTCAATGTTGTCGATAGGAACTTTATAAACTTTGGTTTTCAAGTGACCCCAGATAAAATAATCACAAGGATTACAGTCCGGTGATCGAGGTGGCCACTGAATAGGAGCATCCCGACCTCTGCCAATCCATCTTCCATGGTATTGTTCGTTTAAATAATCTCTCACAATGCGGGAAAAATGAGGTGGTGCACCATCGTGCATAAAAAATATGTCACGGCGTAAATTGAGCGGTAAATCTTCTAACAGTTGAGAAAAATCTTGACGTAGAAAATGCAAGTAACTGTCACCGTTAAGACGATCTGGTAATCTAAATGGGCCAATCAAGTAGGTGTCAATAATACCCACCCATACATTAATTTTAAACTCTCGTTGAAAGTGTTTCTCTTTAATGGCATGTGGATTTTCATCTGCGTAAACATGTTCGTTATGTGAATTTGTTATATCACGTCGTGTAAAGCATGACTTGTCTGTAAACAAAATTTTTCTGTGAAAAACTGGATCGGCCGCTCTGTGCTCTTGAATAACTTGTACAAAATGCAAACGAGACTCATAATCAGGAGGTAGGAGTTCCTGGACTTTGAATGTGAAAGGGATACATAGGTTGTTCTCTAATTATTCTGTTATTCTTTTTGAAATCCTAGTTTGGCGTGCCAGTCGTCGGGTACTAATTCCGGGATTATTTTTAACTATTTCAAGTATTCCCTCCTCTGCAGCAGGAGTTCTAACATGACGAGGTCTTCCAGCATTATTTCTGTTCGGTTTCAGTTGACCAATTTCTCGAAGTCGCCTCTCGATAGAAGTAAAAGTCTGGTGATTCGGAATCTGCCGATTTGGAAATCTTTCATGGTATACCCGAACACTCTCACGGAAGTTGCCATTACAGAAACCAAGCACTAGCAACATATCAGTTTGTTCATTGAATGTGTATTCCATACCAACCACAAAATGTTTGAAATAACTCCTTCACAAAAACTTTAATTCGAAACAGAAAAAATACAATACATACATAAAATGAGTAGTAACGACAATTTTTACAGTTCTACAACATACATATCTGTCAAAATTATCAGATTGTTTATTGTAACGTTGACAACCGCCAACTTAGTTTTCTTGAAAATTTTAAGTCCATAAATTTTTTTTTACTCAAATACCATGAGAGATACATGTTTTTTGTAAGAGAGAAAAAATGCTACAAATAAATATAGCTCTCCACAAAAAAAATTTAGGGAACAGGGGCGGCCCTGAAAAAAAAAATACGATGTCATTTATGGTAGGATTAGGGTGGTTTTTACCCTTCCATATTTTCAGTTGGTGTAATTTTTGCTTTGAACAATGGCTCTTCAATTAAAATAGCTACACACCAAATTTTATAAAAATCGAACAAAGCGTTTTTGTGTTATTAAAAAAAATTGAAAATTTTCTTCCAACTTTGAAGCTTCCTCACAGGCAAGCGATGGACTTTATGATATAGGTAATTTTGGCTCAATCGACTTATTTTGATCTCACCAACATACAGTAGATCTATGTACACGGAATTTTGGGACACCCTGTATTTTATTAATTATACTCGTGATTAACTTTCATGTTAATTAAAGTGTTTTTGCAAGTACTAATAGTTGGTTGGCATAATTAATTTGAGTTATAATTAGTTATAATTAGTATTTGTTTTCATTAATTTTGTACACAGTTAAGAAGTATTGATACACCTAACCTCTCAATCAGTCCACTTTTTTCGTTTGTATCAAACGTCTAAGACACTTTAACCACCTTTTCAACTTCTCACAACTATGCGCTTCTACAGAGTTATGAAAAAGTTAATCACCATCAACGATTTTTTCTAATGATTAATTTTTCTGTAGAGATAATATTGCTTTTCCAGCCATTGTCGATCAAAACAGTACGAAACTTTTGAATTACCGCTTGCGTTCATCACATGATGAAAAGGTCTATTATCGTTTGCCGACCATAAAATAGTAGTTTATGTTATAAGGACGAAAAGTTGGGCAAGACGTAGTCGAGCCTGGCAACTCGTAGGAGTCCGAAAATACACTTTTCGTCCATGTTTCATGCATTATTTTTTATTCGAATGTGCTCATAGATATTTAAAAGTATAGAAAATTAAATCCAAAATTATATTATTTCCAATTTTTCTTATAACTGAGACGGCTGTGATCGATAGGAATGACTAGGTAGGTAATATTCTTGATAACAATAATTGAACAATTGCTGTCATGTCAAACCGATTTAATTATACTTTATTTAGTTTTTCTCTTATTCAATTAAAAATGTTTCTATTAAAATTTGATGTAGATACATATGGATTATGCACTACCATTTTACAATAGCAAAAAAATATCTACAGCAGTATTAAAAGGTAAATCAAAAATAAAACAGAATGTTTAGACACGCGCGCGCGCGCCCCCCCACACACACACACACACAGACATCATCGCGAAAATAGTCAAAACGGATTCAAGGGACCCCAAAGCGTAAAAATCCGTCGAAAACTTGGGGTCGAAAAAAGTCATTATTCCTATACTTTCCTTATCTGTATACAGATAGAAAAGTTAAAAAACGAGGCTTAGGCGTGAACTTCGAGATGATTCTCAGATCCTCTACTATCATGAAACTAAAAGAAGATTGAAGAGGACAAAATCTTTAGATCTTGTGTGAGTTAAATATGAAAGTTAAAATAGTGAAAGAGTTAATAGCGAAATAGTGTAAGTTTTTGTACAAATTAAAAGAAAATAAACAAAGGTACTTGGTTTTAATCCTTTAATTCATTATTTTAGGTTAAAATGAAATTGCGATAGAGCCTATGTAGATCAGGTGCAATATAACGCTCATTAAGAAAAAAATGTTACATACCACACTTCCATCATCAAATCCATCTCTTTCGAATTGACAATACGATTATCATGAAGCTCGGGTGCATTTTTCTTCAATTTAAAATACGACATGATGGTATTTTTCGTCATGTTCACATTATGTTCACAGCTTATTAAAAATAAAACAATCATTTCATCTGGAAGGTCTTTAGGAACAAACCTTTCGTCTTTAACCCATTGTTTGATTACCTCGAAATTCTCCCTGTTGACTCTTCCTTCCGATATCAAATCTTCGACTTTGAATTGAAATTTGAAGGACATTTTAAATGCGTATTACTTATTTACTGCAAATCATAATATTGTAAATTACACGTTTATTTTTGTTATCATTACAAAATGTGTTGGCTATTAAGTTTTATAAATAATTTAAGTGTTCTACTAGTTGAATATTATACACTGTGCGTCAGAGAAAACGGACCACCTAAAAAATTTACGAAATAATTAATCTGTTTAAATATATCTTACTTTTATAACAATAAATCTATTGTATATTAAGTCAGTAATTGTTTTACCATGTTATCCGATGTTACTATAAGTCACAAACGAAAAGAAAGCAAAACAAATTGAGAAATCATAAATTTATTGAAAAATTACAGTTACAGTTTACTTTGTAATAATAAAATTAAAGAGGCAGTAAATATTGAGGATCACTTTTCAATACGGCGTATTGCCACCCCGATTCTGGATGACACTCCTTATTCGATTTGGCATAGAAATCAGCAAGGTCTGAATGTTTGCTTGAGGAATAGTGGTCCATTCTTCAATAAGGTCCAACCGAAACTCTTCGCGTGTTGTTGGAACAGGTATACGATGTCTTACATGCCTTTTGAGCTGGTCCCAAACATGCTTAATAGGATTAAGATCCGGGCTTAGAAAAGGCCAATCGATTTTGGGAATACCAACCTCTTCAAGGTATTGTGTTACCATCCTTGCCGTGTGTGGTCGCGCGTTATTCTGCATTAGCAACAAATCATTGCCAACAAACCCAGCATATGGCATTACATGCTCTTCTAGAATCTCTGTTATGTATCGCCATGATGTTAATGCATCTCTAGCAATAATGAGATCCGTGTGTACCTCAAAAGAAATTCCTGCCGAAAACAATACTGAGCCATCCCAAAAGCAACTCGAGGTGACCGAGTACAGGCAGCATAACGTTCTCCAGCTCTTCTGTAAACATTATTTCGGCAATATTTTCCTTATATGCACATTCTACACCCATCCGTGAACAGCAGATTTTTCCAATCGTTCATTGTCCAATTCATATGTTCGCGAGCAAAAACAAGTGTGCGTCTTTTGTGTGCTGCAGTCAGTAAGGGTCCTGTAGCTGGACTGCAAGCTGTCAAACCACTTTCTCTTAACCTTCGCCGAACAGTAGAAGTGCTGACTGTCGTTCCATGATCTTGCTGAAGACTGCTTTGGAGCATTCTAGCAGTTTGGGTTCGGTCTCGTAAAGCAGCAATGGTGAGTAAAGCGATCTTTCCTGACTGTTGTTTTTTTTAGCACCTATACCGGGTCACCGGTGATAAGAGCCGGTCGCAGGAAACCGTTGGTGTGTTCTTTGCACAGTCGAACGACTGACATTTAATTGTCTCGCCACATTCCGTAGACTTGCTCCATTTCCCAATAATATTACAATCTGAATAGCTCTTCGAAATTTTTCATTCATTATTAAGGATTACACTTTACTCTACGAAGACCAGTGTAGTACAAAAATACCTTTAATACTCTTAAGAACACAATACAAGTTCATAAAGTTCTCAAAACAGTCACTTTCATGAAACTTAACTGACGCAAAAAAAAGTATTCTGATAAATTTTTTGTTTTACTCGGGTCCGAAAATTTGTTCGTGATCTTTACAGGGTCGGCATGACTTCGCAAGTATGCAAACTAACGGGTAATTAAAAAATAAGAAACTTAACAAGATAGATAATTTCGTATTTTTTTTAGTAGCCCGTTTTCTCTGACGCACAGTGTAGTAAGTACTGTAATTATTATAGATACAGATCAATTCAAACAGTAGCGTAGCGTATAAGGGAGGTTTAGGGTTTTGAAATTAAGAAACAATACATATACCTACTTATTTTTTATGAGATTTCAATTATTTTAATTTTCGTGTTTTTAAAGTAGACTTTCTGATACACTAAGGGGGGTTTCACAAAATTTGAATCCTTCACCAATAGTACAGGATACGAAGAAAGGTCGACCTCCACCCATCTGTTTAACGAATGACAGTTTTTTTTATTAAATAAAAAATGTTTATAAATATTACTGCAAATGGGTTTCCTAAGAAAATACGGTCACGTCAATTTTTTACTTTCCTTTCTGTATACAGATAAGAAAAGTATAAGAATCATGATAAAAGTTGCTTGTGGTGGTATTCTCTATAATTTTGGTTCTATACATTATTTCTCTAAAATGGACCGTATTCGAGATATATTTGAGGAAAAATGTAAATTTTGAAGATGAAGATAACTCGAAAACGAATAAAGAGAGAAACCATAAATTTTAAACTTAAGCTTTTATCCATCCTGCTGTGAACTGATTAAATTTTCGGCATCGTCGAAGCATCTGGGGAATACATTACAGGGTGTCGCTTCTTTTACTTTAAATAAATAATCTCAATCTTATTTTCTTAGGCAACCCCTTTGCGGTATATTTATAAACATATTTTATTTAATAAAAAAACTTTCATACGTTAAACAGATGGGTAAAGGTCAACCTTACTTCGAATATTAGACAATTGCAGTTAGAGAAGTCTGGGAACCTATTCCTCAAGAGTTTATTACAAACTTGGTGGACAGTATGCAGAGGAGAAGAACAGCAGAACTTTTGCGAGTACGAGGTGGGCCTAACTCGATAGGAACTAAATTATTAGTTAATATTGTTTCTCTGTTTTTTTTTTATAATTTAACTATAGGCTGTTTTTTGAAATATTGGCTTGTCTCAGGACTTTTGGGACACCCCATATGCTAAGGATAGGTTAGGTTAGCTTTTTCAAATTTGTGTTTCGTGCCGTTCTATTGAAGTAAAATAAACTTATTTAAACTGAAATTGTAATTTTAAAAAATGCGGACTTTTTGAAAATACCCTGTAACTTTTTTCTAAACAAAAAAATACAAATCTGTCAAATCCCAAGCAGCAAGGTGCCGTCATTATGACGTGATTTTTTGGGTTTACTCATCAGAAACATTACTATCCCAATTAATGACGTTACTTTGACATCGTTTTTACAACGTTAATTAGACGTCAATACAGACTCGTCATTATGACGTAATTTTTTAGTATTAATTTATCCGAAATACAATATCCTAATCAGAAACTTGTATTTGGAAATCTGCTTCAACTGAAAGCACATGTATATTAAGTTTGTTCGAGCTGCAGTTTGTAATTTTTTTTGGTAAACTTACGTTGCCTTATGTTTTGTTATGGATAATTAGTAACGTTTCGTTTTCTAGCCTTAATCATTCAAGATTTTGTTGCCTGTCTCTTTTTAACGTATTGCTAACCCAATTCCGATGTCCTCAAATGTCAAATGGCAATCAGTTTTGCAAATCTAGTACAATTGTACTGGATCTAGTACATCCTAAAGGTAACGGCTACGTTAGAAACGAAATTCAGTACATTGTCCGCTATCGTCCAGTGTAATTAATATAAATTAAACTAGTAAAAGTACCGTAAAGACTTAATAAATCCTAAACAATTTATAATAAATATTCCTAAGGCAACCAGAGAGGAAACCAATTCTAGTACATTTTTATGAAATCTGGTACAATTATTTATACCAATCTAGTACTAAACTAAAAAATATTCTGGCAATGTCATATTGTCAATTGTCATTGTTGTTTCCTCCATCTTCATGATTCTCGTGACAGTCGTGCATTTTTAAATTGTACTTTATTTAGTAAGATGTTTTAGAAAAAGATAAAAAAATAGAATGTGACAAAATAAAATATATTAAACCGAATTTGGTATTTTACAGATGTATTGCATTGTTGAGTTTGAAAAACCGGATGATTACAGTCTGATGGTTGTGAGATGAGCAGAAAATGGCTGACGCCGCGTAAAAAACAAGTATTTTGGCCGCATTTATAAATAAATATATAAAGAAATATAATATAATATAAGACTGGTGAGTAATGTTATACTTTTATTTTTTGATTATGAGTTCTTTCAGGGTATTTTTTAATAGTTTATTTAAAAATGAAAGATTTGTATGAGGTCACTTGATTTAAATACATTTTATCATCTCACAGGATATATGATCTTTTTTTATTAACTTTTATTATAAACTCAGACTATATGTATACCTCTGAGAAGGTGAAGTAATTCCCTCAGATTTTACAACTAGATACACAATTTACTTTCCATCTTAAAGAATTTTCAGTGGTCTGTATTTTAATAGTTCTTTTATTTTAGATGATAATAATAAGTGATGTACCAAATTAAAAAAAGTTGAAGTTACCTAAGATCTACATTCCGAGGCTGATAAAGTACTTCAGAATCTTCTTCACTTTTAAAAATCGGCTAAGGCGTTTCCGAAATACAGTTTCCTACAAATAACGATAAAATTAGATGTACCGACTAATTACGTGATCAATTTATATTGAATAAATAAATTTACAAATTAGTTTTATCCCTTAATAAGCACATTTTATTTTTTGGTACTTCTAGTAAGTATTGATAGGATTGCATTTGTTTACTTCTGTGTTCTTGAGAGACCGCATTCTATCTTTTCAGTCTTGGAACTTTTCTTCTATGATTATAGGACAAATAAGGACCCAGCTAGCACATAACGTTGCCAAGACTTTCGGCGATGTTGCATTAAGGGAACGTAATAACATTAGGTACTATACAACGTAAATGCAACGTTCGGAAGAAGTTGTTGAGGGAAATCAAAACCTCGCAAAACTTCTATTTGTTATTTACCTAGTTAACCTACCTGTTATGTTAACACAACGTAATAAAGTAATTTGCTAAAAAGAACAAGAACTGTTTATGTCAATTGTCACTTGCCAATGTTTCTTGTCATATGTCATGTTTATTTTTTTTTAATTTGCAGAATTTCTTTTATAATTATTATTAAAAACATTTGAGTAGAAGTGGTAAGGATCCTCTATAAAATAGAAAACTATTTTCTGAACCATTTTCTTCGTTTTAGATTACAATGCCTGTTGTAAATTTTATCAAAATGTCCGGGAATATTTGGTTCATATTTTTGTAGTTTTCGACAGAATGAGCTGGAGCTGGTTTATAGAATT